ATTCCACTCAGGAGGTTTAATTAGGGACCCAGCGCAGCGGCAGCTCACACGCATCTCAGACCTGCTGCCTCACCTTGACGGAGCAGGGCTCCAGGATCTCTGACTCCCTGGGTCTCCTCCAGCCCAGAGCCCTGAGCCAGGTGCATGTCCAGCCCTGTGATGAGAGGCATCGGCTTTTCCTGCAGGTCACTGTGTTACCACTGCAGGAGTCAGAGACATGGTACAGTTCATTCTTGCTCTCCTGCTTCCATCCAGCTTTCTGTCCCATCTGCAAGCCCTGCTGACCTGAAGAAATGTCAAACTCAACTCCAGATACAGAGGCAACAGCCTTGCCTAGACATTTTTACTACTTTTCATAATGGGTAAGTCTAATCCCTATGATTAATCCCCTATTCCATGTCATACAGAGTAGCTCTGATTTCCTGATCAAATGCTAATTGATATAACAAGTTACTCCCATGGCCTTAGCAAATGCAAAGACCTTCTATCTCTGCTTCCCGTGTGGTTCCTCTGATCAGAACACTGATGCTTCCTCCAGCCTTCTGCTTTCTTGATGGAACTTTTACCACTAAACCACTGCCACCATCACCACCACTGCCACCAAATCATTATCATAATTACTACAACCACCCGACTGTCATGTTCACCCCCATCAAACCACCATCATTACCGTCATTACCATCACCACTACCATTACTGCTATCACCAGTATCATCACCACCACCACCACAGTCACCATTACAACTACCACCACCATCATCACCACCACCCCTATCACTATAGCCATCACCTGCCACCAAAATCAGCACTACCACCACATCAATACCCTCACCTCACCTCAACACCGCCATTACCATTATCATCATTCTCATTATCACCATCACTCCTGGTCATTCTCACCAGGCCACCGCTACCACACCATCACCCCTCCTTTATCTCTGTTCATCTTCACAGCAGTCTCACCCAGGTCAGATTATTCCTAGCTGACAAATGAGGAGAGGTTAAGTAACTTGTCAGCAATCAAGGATAGAGTTAAACCCAGGTCCAACCTCAAATTCCCTATTCTTTCACTACACTACACAGCCTCCAAAACTATGTTTGACAGAGCAAAGGGCAGTCAATGGTTAGTGGAAAAAAGGACTGAAAGCAGCAGAACTGTGCTGATCAAGAAAGGAGGGGCAGAAGAATAGTAGCTAGAAGGCATAAGGCAGGCAAAGAAGGGATGGATTCAGACAAGATCCCCCAGAGCAGAGGGGCAGAAGGCGGTTCCACATGGGTGGCAGTTCTGACCCAAAGCCTATGTCTAGGATTCAGAGAGGAAGTGGCCTTGCTCCTGCAGACCTCAAGGCAAGCCCCACAGGAAAGCTCACCCACGCATGAAGGGCAGAAATCAGAGTCCGAGGGGCCAGTGAGTTAAAAGGGGTGAGTCAGAAACGACCAAGGGAGGCACCTGCAATGCCACTGAATGTCTTAGCCAGGGTGGTTCTCAGTCCTGGCTGCACAATAGAAGCAGCTGGAGAGTTAAAAAATGTACTAATACCCAAGCCCCACACACAACACTTCTATGATTTTTGTAATGCTTCTCAGTTCATTCGAATGTGCAGGAAGGGTTGAGAAGCAATGCTTTAACCCAACGAAACTCTGGAATCATGCTTTCCTTCCACCTGAGCCCTCAGAATTCCCTCACACTCCAGTACAAGCTAGCTGGCCTCTTAAACCAAGTGTCTCTGGGTGCTAGATGGTGGTAAAATAGAAGGGAGAAACGGATCCTTCCTAGGATAGGGAAAAGATCAGTCTAATTTTAGACCAAGGAATCTACCTTTTATTTTTGGGTCACAAAATTAGATAATTAATCTATAAGTTGAAACAATAAGAAAAAGAAGGTAAGCTGAAGGAGACTCTCACAGTTTGGGTAAGGGGCTATTCCTCTCCCCAGCCTGGAGGTGAACTTGCCTTATTTTCTACTATATTCATATACTTAATAGAACAAGAGAAATTATAAACAACAAGAGCCACTGTTAGCATTTGCTGAATACTTACTGTGTGCTGGGCACTGGGTTAAACTGTATAATTCTCAAGGTAACTCTATGTGGTGGATGTTAACATATTCCTCATTATACAGATGAAGAAACAAAAGCGCGGGGAGGCTGAAGAACTTGCCCAAGCTCACACCAGCAGCAGAGCTGGAATATGCACAGATATATGCCTCTAGGGTCCACACTCCCAACTCCACACCACACAGCATCCCAATTGCCATGGGTTCTGGGATAAGTATTACTGTCCCTATTTTACAGGTGGGGAGACTGAGGCTGCTGCATCTCACTAGCACAGCCTGGATTTGGAACCTCCACAAGTAGAATATACCAGAAGAGCTGAGCAGCAGTTTGGCCCACAGGCAGAGAGGTTGCTAAATGCCCAGTTCTTCCCCTCCACCACCCCACCCTTTATGCTCAGAGGCTACACAGAAATCACATGGCATGACCTTTCAAAATAACTGCATTTTAAAAAATCGACTCCAGACCCAAACCAGTATTGGTATATGAGCCGAGTCTGAAAATGACACGTAAATAGATGGAAAGGGCGAATCCAACCGCGCTGTAGGTTGGGCAAAACATCTCAAATTATTTGTTTCAAATATTTTGCAATTGGCAAGACCCAAACCACATTTTTCCAAGCATTCCCTTCTCCACCCCACCCCCACACTACCCAGTTTTACATTGTAAGCCCATGTGTATTTCCCAAAAAATGTAATCCATATGTCTCTGAGCCGTTTACACTTAACTCATCAAATTATTGTTTGCTAAGAGTTGTTTGCTGCCCATGAAGCCTTCTGAGACTGTCTGTGAGGCCTTCAAAAGCCCCTTTCTGCCTCTTTTCTTAGAAACAGGAAGCTGCATTTAGCCAAGGGCAAATGAAATTGAACATGTTGGCACTGGGAGGGAAGAGGTTCCAGGGCCAAAATGTTTGTTCTTGTTCTCAACATGGCAGAATATCAAGGAAGGTCCCTCTGAGGTGGTATTTCAAGGCCCAGAAAACCTGCTCTCAGTGGAATACCAAGCTCGAGATTGAGTCCAGTTTTGTTTTCACCCCTCTTCACCATCCCTCTGTCTGCCATGGTCCCTATGATGGTTCAAGAAAGTCATAGAAAGCAAGCAACAAATCTGTGACCTGCTGGTGAGACCGATGATATCAACTGCTGTGGTGGAAGTATTACCGACTTTTCACCTCAGCAGCTAAGGTCTTGCAAGTTCTGCTTTTCTATCTGCCTTTTAAAAAAGCATGCATGTATATAGGCAACAAACCAAACACTTTTCAAAACAAACCATTCCATCTGATATGGTTTAACTCATCCATGTTTTTTGGCTTTAGCAAAAGGTTTTAGTTTTTTTTTTTTTTTTTTTAATTGCTTAAGTTCAGCTAACTTATGTCTCTTGGGAAAACTGATCTATGTAAATGTGATTTAACTAAAGGGGTTTGAGCCACTCACATGTGTTTTACATTTTCTAATCATCCTGAGCTCTGTACATGGTGAGCAGACTGAAAAATGATGGTGGTCTCATTTCAACATCAATTTTTATCCATTCTATCTCCCAAGAATGCCAAATGATGGCTGGAGAGAATCTCACTTCCTGTTTCCAGATGATCAGAAGCTGGTATTTATGAAAAGTTGGAAGTGTGTGAAGTTGATTGCATGGCTAGAAGATCCAAAGGAAGATGGCAATTCTTTAAGATATCTACATTCATTAAATTGGCTAAAACTTCAGAAGATATTCCTTTTAAATATTATATTTCCCTGATTAAAGTAAGTTCAGCAAACATTTAAGATGCCTACTGTATTAGGCATTGTTGCATAACAAATTACCACAACCTTACCGGCTTAAAGTAATATACGTTTGTTATCTCAGTTTCCACAAGTCAGGAGTCCAGGAGTCCAGGCATGGCTGAAGCAGGTCCTCTACTCAGCTGTTCATATGTTACAGTTAAAGTGTTCATCTGGAGGCTTGACTATGGAAAAAATCCACTTCCAAGCTCATTTGGATTGTTGGTAGAATTCACTTCCTTGTGGCTATGTGGCTGAGCCACCTGTTTTCTCGCTAGCCGGTGGCTGGGAACTGCTGTCAACTTCTAAAGGCCACCCTCAGGTCTTTGCCACATGGGCCCCTCCATAGGCCCCCTTAAAACACAGCTGCTTACTGCTTCAAAGCCAGCAGTGGACTGTCTTCCTTCAGGAAGGGCACAGTCCTCTTTTAAGGGCTTTTCCCTGATTAAGGTAGGGCCACCCAGTATAATCTCCTTTGTGAGTAACTCAAGATCAACTGATCTGGGACCTTAATTATAGCTGCAGAAGTCCTTCACCTTAACCATATAATGTAATCTAATCAGAGAGTGACAGCCATCATATTCACAGGTCCCATTCATATTTAAGAAGAAGAGATTTTCGAGGATATGGATGCCAGAGGGGTTGGGAGTGATCTTAGAATTCTGCATACCATACCTTCTATGTGCTAGGACATGGCAATACATTAGTTATGAATCCTACCTACGAGAAACTACCAGGCTTTAAGCCAGGAGTGGTAATATGTGCCTGTAGTTCCAGCTACTCCAGAGACTGAGGCAGGAGGAGCGCTTGAGCCTGAGAAATCAAGGCTGCAGTGAGCTATGATCATACCATTGCACTTCAGCCTGGGTGACAGAGTGACACCAAAAAAAAAAAAAGAAAGAAAAAGAGAGAGAGAAGGAAGGAAGGAAGGAAGGAAGGGAGAGGGAGAGGGAGAAGGAGAGGGAGAGGGAGAGAGAGAGAGAGAGAAGGAAAGAAAGAAAGAGAGAAAGAGAAAGAGAGAGGAAGGAAGGAAGGAAGGAAGGAAGGAAGGAAGGAAGGAAGGAAGGAAGGAAGGAAGGAAGGAAGGAAGGAAGGAAGGAAGGAAACAAAAAAAAAGAAAGCTCACTCACAGCCTAACAAGGGCAATGGATATGTGATAATAACTATTCCATGAGATATGTTCTACAACAGAAGTACATTTAATGTTCAGAAATAGCACAAAAGTAGTAACATAAACACTGATCTTTGTAACATAAATAGGAGTTTACCAGGGAGGCAAGCATGAGGAAGATGGAGGATGGGTTAAGTAGGATTGGCTCAAAACAGGTATAGTGTGATTAACAAATTACTAGTAATTTGATTTTGCTAAGATTTCAGCAAATGTGCTGAGCATTTTTATCTGCTGTATCTTGACTTGTCTTCTTCTTTAAAACAAAGAAAGAAAAGAAATCTAGTTGTCCTAAGGACCGGTCGACGGACCTCATGTATGTGTGTGAAAATGTTGTCCATGACTCATCCACTTACAATATGATGACAACGCTAAGGGGAAAGACGCATAGTCAGTCAATGCTTCAGGCCTATGAGAAAATGTGCTCCCAGTTTCCTTCTGAATGTGTGGACCTTTTACAATAAGAAGCTTTCCTTGAAATAATGTTTCATTCCAGAATGGTAGAAATGAGTCCATACCTACAGACATAACAACAGCAAAAGCTATGGCAATTGCAGAATTCCTGAGCATGAAGAACAGCAACCAAAGTTGGATGAACCCAGGGAAATCACAGCGCCTGGGGTGACACATGCTGAGAGCTGCACCCCACAGGGTGGTGCTTTCGTAAGTTGCAACAAGATTCACTTTTGAAGCTTGAGGTCTTCTGACTCTTCTACCACAATATGTAAATACAAGCCAGAAAGCAAAAAGCCTCTAAAAATTACAGTAGCCTTCATGTCAACTCCAAAATACCTCTTGAGCCATGAGGAAGATGACAACATTGCAAATGAAAATGCAAGCATCTTGCACGCGGTTCAGCTCTGAGTGTTCCACTCCCACTGCCAACAGTCTGATGTGGGATTGTTTCTGGTTACTCAGACCTGCTCGAGTTAGTTTACCTCCCTGTGGCCTTCCTGACAAGCCATATGGATAGGAACTACAAAGTACTGGGAGACCCGGATACCAGTCTCAGTTCAATTCGTTCTTTCATTTATCCAGAATTGTTGGAGGACAAGTGAGTTCTCCACTTATTGGATAAATAAGTTTTCCAAACAACTGAAAATTTTGGCTAGCCACAAGATTTTTGCACTTTTATTGTTTAAATAGGAGAAATTCTCCTAAGATATGGAATATATTAAGAGCATCATCCCTGGACCCTGAATGCCTGGGTCTGAATCTCAGCTCCAACGCATGCTTGCGGTGTGATGTTGGGCAAGGGACTGAACTTCTCTCCGCTTCCAGGGATAATGATAGTCCCTGCTTCAGAAAGTAGAAAGAGTAAATAAATTAACCACACAAAACAGAACAGTATCTAGCACATAAAAATTGTTTCAGTAAGTATTATTGTTATTACTGTAAACAGAATGACTAACAGAAAATATGAGGCTTTTCTTCTCAGAATCATCACTATAACCACTAAGCAAAATATTGTATATGTATATATGCATATTATTTACATATATAATATATATTTATAAGTATACAAACATTTTATGTATTTATGTATACACATACTTTATACAACCACACACTCACTAAATCTATATATACACATATATATTTATGCATCTATACATGCATATATATGTATACACACACACACACTCTCTCTAGATGTAAATATATAAAATCATGCCCTCATAACCCACTGGAATACATTAGGGAACTACATTTACCTTAAATGACCTCAGAAGTTTTAGCTTCTAGTTTTTCACGCTTTGTGTTTGCCTGTTTTAAACATCCTGGTCTCTTTCATTGGTGGAACTGCTAGCAGCCATGTCTGGCTATGTCTGACTTCTTCCTCCCCTGAGTTGTTCTTCTATTCTTCCATGACTGAGAAACCAGATTGCAAAGCTTGTTAGAATTGTGGCTAACATAAGAGCACAGAGTTCTGAATGAGAATCTCAGAGGCTCCTCTATGAATAAAACGGATGGGCTTTAATATTTGTACACCGGATCACCTGCTATGGCTGATCTGATCACCGTGTTTAGCTTGCTTTCTGATTCTTGAACCTGTTCTTAATCTGTGCTTTTCAGCTGTGCTCACAGGACCATCAGGCTGTGTGAGCAGATTTCAGGGGCTACCATGGTGTAGAAAGGGGTGGCCAAGGTGGGGTTTAATCTAGGAAGGCTCCAAGCCCTCCATTTTTGCTTCAACCAGAGAAGCTCTGAGATGTTTTATATACTGGGCTTCTGCATAGGATGCCATTGCAAAAAGGCTTCCGCTGCTACATTAATAAATAAAGTTGGCAACTACTGTTCTACAGAGTTATGTTTGCTAGATAAATGGCATCTGGACATACACTCTTTTATGTATGTTTGAAATATTTCAAATAAAAAATGAGAGTCACAAGCCAAACCAACACTAGGGATTAAACATAACAAAAATTCATATGTAATAAATGAGACTGGGCATCTACAGAAAACATTTCCAAATAAACCACCGTAACTATGATTTGTAAATTTTGTAATGATGTTAGGTTAACCCCACATCCCACCACAGAGCCACCACGTTAAAAGTCAATAAATGTAAAATAAGTGTAATTTTAAGAAGTCTAAAATGTTAATGATGGCTACAAATAGACGGGGCTTGAGTTACATGATTGGGAAAAGGGGAATTTTAAGAATGGTTTGTCAGGGTTTTTCCAGAACTCATGAAAAGAGATTCTAATAGTTGATACTAGGTTTCTATTCAGTAACATCCATACACTGGAAATGGACATATTAGCATGATGGAAACAATCTTCCAGTAACATTAAGCTCCCTCTTGTTCTAACTAACTCCATCTTACTAACTGTATCAGTTAGAATTGTTTTGTCTGCAAGAAACAAACAAAAACTCCCACAAAAACAGCAGTGGTTTAAACAAGACCAAAATTTATTTATTTAGTTAGTTATTTGTTTGTTTGTTTTTTGAGATGGAGTCTTGCTCTGTATCCCAGGCTGGAGTGCAGTGGCATGATCTCGGATCACTGCAACCTCCGCCTCCCAGATTCAAGCAATTCTCCTACCTCAGCCTCCCGAGTAGCTGGGATTACAGGTGTGTGGCACCACACTCAGCTAATTTTTGTATTTCTAGTAGAGACGGGGTTTCGCCATACTGGCCATGCTGGTCTTGAACTTCTGACCTCAAGTGATCCACCTGCCTCGACCTCCCAAAGTGCTGGGAATACAGGCATCCCAGCCAAGATCAAAATTTATATTTATCAGTTGAGAAGCCTGGAGGGAGGTAGTCCAGGTCTGCCATGGCACTCGATGGTGTCAGGGGCCCAGACCTGCTCTACTTTATTGCTCTGTTATGAGCATCTGCCATTCTCAAGGTCTCTTCTGGTCCAAAATGGCTGCCAGAGTTCCAGACATTGCAGCCACTTTCCAGACAACAGGGAACAGGAAGAAGAAGAGGAAATCCCTCTTCCTTCAAGGAGACTTTTAAGAAGTTTTACAGACCCCTTCTGCTTACCTCATATTGACAACAACTTAGTCACATGGCCACACAGAACTGCACAGAAGGCTGGGAACTGTAGTCTGTATTCCAGACAGTTCTGTGCCCAGCCAAAACTCAGGTACTCCAGTACTAACAAAGAAGGAAAAATAGATATTGAATGACAACAAAAGTCTCTACCATGCCAAATTATCTCCTTGACATCTCTTGGTATTGCTCCTGTGGTGTGTGCAACAGTGCAAGGGTGCAGTGTTAAGCTCTGAAGGCCCCAGATGGCAGCTCGGGGGAAAATACTATACAGCAAATTGTTTTCTCTATTTCCTCCTCAATCTTGCCCCCCTAGTTCCTAGAGCTTATGAAGGTCCACAGAATGTATCCTTAGAACTGAAAGCTGTTGCTCCTACCTTTTCCACCTTGAGAAAAAAAAAATCATTAGTTGCAGTGCAAATAGTTTCATCACAAAAAAGTAACAAAACTGATCAACTGAAAACCCTTGCGGAAGAAGAGATTTTTTTCTCATCTCCCTTAAGCCCTTCCCATGTTGGTCTGTGGAGCCTGAACATCACTGAGTAGGGAATGTCATACAGGATTGCATTAAGTGCTCCCCACAACCCAAAATACCTCCCCTTTAGCCTAATATAACATCTGACACCCTTGCATGAATCCTTTTAGTCTAAGACGCTGAGGCTGAATTGTCCTCTGAGAAAAGAAAGCAAAAACCCAACTGGCCTACATCACTAAGGAGACCTTGAAAGATTGATGTAAGATAGCCCCTGATGGAAGAGAATGGGCAGGGCCCACAGGGATGACCTGCAGAATCACTGTGGACCTGCTGGGGGGGTGACAAAGGACAATGGGAGAAGGAGGAGGTAGTGAAAATAAACTTTGGTTGTGCCAAATTTTCTGAAGAGCCAGCACTTCTTACTGTGAAAAACTGATCTGGAGCGAAGTGATGAATTATCACATCCAAAATTACCAATTCTTTTCAAGCACTCCTTTCACTTTTATTCAATCCCCTAATAAAAGCAGACTTGCTGTCCTCATTAAGCCCAACGTATTGGCATCTGAAGTGTACTGATGTACTCATATGTTATTTCCCTAATTACACTGGAACTTGCAATGCCCAAGAACTCTGTTGATGAAAATAATCCTTCTGTAATATTTCCTTTTTGATTGGGCACCTCTGGGCATTAAAAACACATTTTCAATGAAAACTAGGAAGGGCTTTCTTAGTTCTTATCACATTAATCTTGTCATCTAAACTTTTCTACTGGAAAGCTAGCTTCTTCCATAAATCCTTTTCTCAAATTATTTTGGAAGTAACCTGAGATACTACATCAATGAGAAGGCCCAGAGCAGATGTGGGAGGAAAGAAAGAGGAATTAATGACAAGCTTCAGCATTTATTCTTTGACGACTAGCAGCTTAAACCCCCTAAATAGAACATGTGAATAATCAACTCACTCCTGAAGCTGAAGGGAATAGTTTTATCTGAAACAGAATTCCCTCATTATAATACAGTTTTCATGATCAGATATTTCCAAAGGGGCAGAGAGGTAGGGGACAGGGAAACGTCAAAATATATCCATCCAAACCCAACATTGAAAAGCCCACAAAACACATTTGGCTACAAGTTGGAGTCAGTTCTAAATCCCAGTATGTCACACAGGCGTCTCACAGCATTCACCACAACACCCCTGTGACTGTCCCAAGCACATCCACATCTTGCCCTTGGACAAGTCACACCTTGTCTCTGAGTCTTGTTTCTCACCCATACAAAAGAAAGGTTTGCCTAAGGGACCTCTGCAGTCTGTCAAAATCCATCCTATAATGGATGTAGGATATATCCTACAGTGGAATTACACTGATGCTCTCCTGGTGGCCCTGCTATGTCTTAATTTTTTGGTGCCTTAAGTCCTTACAGCATGACACTTCTCAAGACTACCCAAGGAAGCACACCTTCAGTGTTTTGCAATACCACATGTTATGGTTTGGCTGTATCCCCACCCAAATCTCATCTTCCATTGTAGCTCCCACAATTCCCATGTGTCATGGGAGGGACCCAGTGGGAGGTGACTGAATCATGGGGGCAGGACTTTCCCGTGTTGTTCTCATGATAGTGAATAAGTCTCATGAGAGCTGATGATTTTATAAAGGGGAGTTCTCCTGCACAAGCTCTCTTGCCTGCTGCCATGTAAGATGTCCCTTTGCTCTTCCTTCATCTTCTGCCACAATTGTGAGGCCTCCCCAGCCATGTGGAACTGTGAGTCCATTAAATCTCTTTTCTTTATAAATTATCCAGTCTCGGGTATGTCTTTATTAGCAGCATGAGAACAGACCAATGCACCACATCCAAAATGCCAAGAGAGAACCTGTTTGGGTGCATATTCAGAGTGGTTCATGGAAAAGCTACCAATGGAGGCCTGCTGCCTGCTGAATGGACCTTCTAAGCACTACCAATGCAGAATAACCCAGAACTAAGGGAGATTTTGCCCCTCAGGAGACATCTAGCAAAATCTGGAGACAATTTTGGTTGTTACAACTTGGTGGGAAGGGGTTGCTCCTGGCATCTAGTGAGTAGAAACCACAGGTGCTGCTAAACATCCTACAATACACAGGACAGCCACCAATAACCAACAACCATTCTGCCCAAAACGTCAATAGTGCTGAAGTTGAGAAACCAGGCCTAAGTCCACAGACCCAGCAGTGTGGGGCAGCCAGCTCTTACCAGTGCATGAGAGTTAAATGTGTTCATCTCCTTCCAGTTCCACGTTCATGAGGTCACTCTGGCAAAAAGAAATCTGCCATGGTGGGAGGATTTGCACCACAGAAATCAGCAAATCAGCTCTACAAATCAAAGCAATTTTATGTCTGCGAGCAAGTTATTAAACATTTAACAACACATCGCTAATCCAAACTTCTGAAGTAACTCGGAAGCCCAAAGTTCTTTCAGCAAGAAGGCTATCATGTAGTGAGATGACTTTACCTATGGGCAAGAAGTGGGACTTCCTAACATTACCACAACAACCATGACAAAAAGGAAGGACACAGAATGAGGGACATCGTGGGCAGGTATTGGAAGAGTCTCCTGTTCTTTGGTTCCATTTTCTTACTTATATATATGCACTGCCTTCTTCCAAAGAGCACTTGAGGGGACAATTAGGAAATACACAACAGGCTTGTTTACTAAACTGCTCAGAGGAAAAGCATAATGAAAAAATAATAACTCAATACATTTAATTTTGAAAAATTGACATAGAAAAATAAAGATCAACACACAACAGGTGCCAAGCCCGAGGAGCAGGCAAGCTGATCCTTCCGCCCCTAGCCCAGCTGCCTGAAAGACACATTTCCTAGTGGGTCCTGGATGCTGGTAAAGCTGGACTCTACCAGACCCCCCACGAGGAACCGCAGGGCCCCCTCTTGCCTTCCAGGGCTCCGCACGGAGGATGGAATGCCCTACAGAAACTCAAGCCACATTGTAGGGAAACCCTTTTCCAGCTTGCTCTTTATTGCTGTCTTGATATTTGCCTCTGGTTGCTATGGCAAAATCTGGCATTGGAATTTTTCTGGGAACAAATAGGAAATAGTTGTGGGGGAAGTTCAAGATCCTACATACATTTAGGTTTGGTTATAAACACTCATAGTAAAATAAAGTGTTGACTCATTAAACCCAAAATAAACCAAAAAAGAATTTTTTAAAATCCTCTTTCAAAAACTCTTACTTTGTTGCAAAGGTGACCAGCTAGAAAGTTCTTTGCTCTTATGGACAAGATCGTCAGCAAAATGAACTAACAGGGTAGAGGACCGATCAGTTGGGAAACCGGTCACCCCATGCCAAGTCACACTCTGCCTTTAGCATGTTTCATTTCTGGAGCTGGAAGTGCTCACCCTACGCAGAAGAAATTTTCCATTTGCAGGAGTGGATTATTTTGTCCAGTCTCACTGAGGAATATGCCAGGACTGCAGCCATTTGAACTCTGGCACCAAGGGTCTGGAAAAGCTTAGGAGGACATGCAGGCCTGTGGCACACCTTGAACCCAGATGGACCGGGTGTCTCTTTGTTAGTGTCTAGTGATATAGTTTGGATGTGTGTCCCCACCCAGATCTCATGTTGAATTGTAATCCCTAATGCTGGAGGAGGGGCCTGGTGGGAGGTGTTTGGATCATGGGGGCAGATCCCTCATGGCTTGGTGCCATCTTCACAATAGTGAGTGAGATGTTATGAGACCTGCTCATTTAAAAGTCTGTAACATCTACCCCCATCCCCAATCTCCCTTGCTTGCTCCTGCTTTCAACTTGTGGCATGCCTGTTCTCCATTCCCCTTCCGCCATGATTAAAAGCTCCCTGAGGTTTCACCAGAAGCTGAGCAGATGCCAGCACTATGCTTCCTGTATAGCCTGCAGAACTATGAGCCAATTTAACCTCTTTTCTTTATAAATTACCCAGTCTCAGGTATTTCTTTATAGCAATGTAAGAATAGTCTAATACATCTATCTTTCCCTAAGGCCACTATATCTGAAGAGTTCCTGCATCTCCACTTCTCACCTAAGCCCCAACTGTTCTCTCAGTTCACATCCACAGCTCACATCGCCTGACTTGTCTCCTAGGGCCAGCCACATATGTGGGAAGAAACATTGCCATCCATACACAGTGAATTGAAGAGGGCGAAAGTCCTCTCCACCCTGTATGGGCTAGCTGGTGTGATGTCCCTAGCATTCAAGGCTATCATCAAAATACAAAGTCTCTTAAGAGATGTATGGAGAGGTATCACATCATAGACTTTACCGAAGATTTCAAAGGGGAGATTCTTCAAGTGCCATCTGTCTCCAACCTATCTTTTTTCCATCCCATCTCCTAATGTTCCCCAAAAACCTAGCTCGGCTCCAGTCAAGTTCATACCTTACTATCTCTTGCATCTACCATAGATGCATCAGAAATATTGATAAAAATATGTTACTACATACAGCAATCTTTACTTACCAGAGTATCTCTAAAAGACAACATATTTGTTTGGAGTAAATACTTAGGTAAGCCATTTGGGAAGGAGAAGAGAGATCTCAAAGTTGTGTTCAAATAGCAAACAGTGGTCACTGAAGTATTTTTTATAAAATAAGGGAGGAAAGAAAAAGCAACAGGTAAAAGGAGGCAGGGCCTGTGTGGGAGGGGACTAAAGAGATAACACGTGTAAGAACAACTATTTTTCTAGAAGTCACCACCACCTGACAGTGTTCCAATTTCTTTATACGAATCAACTCATTCAACTCTTACTACAGTCCGATGAAGTAGTTAGTAATATTATCCCCATTGCACAGGTGGGGAAACAAAGCCCCGAACCCTTCAGTAACTTGCCCAAGGTTACCTGGCTTGTGAATGGTGGAGATAGCAAGTGATGGTCGGACTCCAGACTGTACTTTCCTCAGTGGGGAAGCCTCTGCTTGCAGTTGAGGAAGGACTGCAAAGCAGTAGACTTAAAAGATTTTAACAAATATAAGAAGTCACCAACATAAGACACACCATTGTCTTATGTATTGTTACCAAAGGAAACGTGCTGCCAATTAGACTATGACACACCAACACAGCAAGACAGAGTCTGGTTTCCAAGATATCAAATACTCAACTAGGAAAAACGTACATATTGGAAATGATGAACACAGTATCAAAACGGAATATGAATCTGTTTGTTGTGGGGGTTACAGTGAAACCTCCATCATCTTCCCTTTGAAACTCCACAGTAAACTCCACATTTCTCACAAATGCTTTCGTGAGCATTGATTCTTGAGAGGAGGTGGTGGCAAGGAAGAACTCCTAGAAGTGCCATTTGTGTGTGTGCGCGGGTGCCCACATGTGTGCAGAGGCAGAGCAAAGACAATTTTAGCAAATGCAAAATGTACTTACCCTATATTTAGTTACGCAAAGAAAATGTACCTTCATTATTTTCTATAATTGATCAAATCTTTCTCCAGAGTCCTTCACTTTACTAAGTAAAGAAGGAAAATTACATGTCATCTAGTCCAATAATTTTAAATGCCTTCTGGATATTTTGGTATTGCAGCACCTCGTCGCCTACCACGCTCCACTTTCCCATTTTTCTTCAAGATGACCCCTGGGGGAAGGGTCTGCTTCATGTTGGTAGGAAAGGGGAGGAAGGTCCTTGGCCCACATGATTCATATGTGCAGGTTCCTGGCCTGTCCTCCAGTTCATCTAGTTCCCACCCTAGAAGGTCTCAATACTGAAGTCTGTGGCTGATCAATGCCTGCTGTGTGCTCACCAGGGCCATGCTGACTCAGCTCCACTTAGGTCCTCACAGGAGCTGCATATCCTTCTGAGGTCTGGCTATGTCTCCCATTCCATCTCCCCCTGGGCAGTCCCCCCACTGGCAACCCCCTGATAAGCTCATCAGCTGGGACTACTTACTCATGGCACTCATGGCATGCTTGTTCAATGAGCTTCGGTGTGACTTCCAGTTCCTTCCAATCGCAGCTCCTTGCCAGCTGTCATGAGGCTGTCATATTAAAGAAGCTAATTGCCATCCTAGATATACCAGTGATCTCCTGAGGGGCTCACCTATTGGTAGCTACCTGTGCCCAGGAGACAACAGTCGCCTGAAGGGGAAACATAAACATTATACAATGTTGCAATTAGTGTTAATGGAATAAATAAAGATCAAGATCACCTACTGAGCACATTAGCATGCAGATAGCATGTTCTAGTCCTAGTGGATACTCAGTATATTTCCAGCTTAGTCTGTGATTTCAGACTGGAGTTCCATGAAGACAGAGACAATGCTTATCTTGTTCATCACTGTATTTACAGGCATAATGGGCACTGAATATTTGTCAGATGCATGTTAAAGTTTAAAAAGGGAAGAATAGCAAGTCATTTACATTAAAGGATAATGTTGTCTAGGCCAGTGGAGATAACTTTATCCCCCAGAAGACATTTGGCAACCTCTGGAGACATTTTTGGTTGTCACAACCGGGGAGGGGAAGCTACTAGCATCCAGAGATGCTGCTCAACATTCCACTATGCATGTGACACCCCCCAAAAAGCAAAGAAATTTGGCCTAAAATGTCAATAGTGCTAGAACTGAGAAACTCTGATCTAAGGATTTGAGAGCTACAGATCACGGTGTGCTGGTAAATGTTAACAACAGGCTCTCTGGGTAAGGGAGGGACTCCTGATTCATAATGTTTACCAATTTACATGAAATAAATACTACAACCATGGTTGATTTCAAGCTCCAACAAGACATCATGAAACACACAGTTGGGAAAAGGGCATAGCAGAGCACACTGTTATATAATATTTCCACCCTGCAGTTAAAATAGACAGAAATAACCCCAACAGCATAGACAATAGTAACATATAGTAAAACAATTTGAAAGTAATGAATTTCGAGTATCATTATTACTTTGTTTTTAATGAAATTTATTTAAATGTAAGTTTAGGCCATTTCACTTTTATAATGGCTGTATTTAATAAGTGGCTCACAACATTCCTGAAATTTTAACATTGGCCCTTGTGAGTCCGTATGAGCAACATACCTAGTCAGGGATAATGCAAATGGGAAGAGATAAGTTGAAGGGTTGAAGGGAGGCAAGAGGACAAGCTGCAAACATAAAACAGTGCCCTTGGCCCGTGTAGCAAGAGGAGGCTGAAGAGCAGGGGAGACATCCTGAAGCACGGAGCACCTTGTGAGATATGAGCATGGGAGCCGTTCAGAGGAGAAAAGGTGTTGGGATGTGTTACCTAATGGGTGACCCCAGTTGCTCTACTTTGAAACATTAAAAATCCAGCTTCCAGCTGGTTGTGGTGGCTCACACCTGTAATCCCAGCACTTTGAGAGGCTGATGCAGAAAATCACTTGAGGTCAGCAGTTCGATATCAGCCTGGGCAATGTAGCAAGACCCCACCCATCTCTACAAAATAAAAATTAAACAAATTAGTCAGTCACAGTGGTGTGTATCTATAGTTCCAGCGACTCAGGAGGCTGAGGCTGGAGGATCATTTGAGCCCAGGAGTTTGAGGCTTGCAGTGAGCTATGATTGTGCCACTGTACTCCAGCCTGGGTGACAGAGGGAGATCCTGTCTCAAAAAAAAAAAAAAACTTACAAAATCCTCTCTCATATATCTATCTATAGATAGATTAGATAGGTAGATAGATAGATAATATAGATGGATAGATAATAGATAGATAGATAGATAGATAGATAGATAGATAGATAGATAGATATGGATATAGGTGATATAGATACAGATGTAGATACAGATATATTAATAGATATACCCTAGTGGTTCTGAGTAACACCATATTAAAAGTAAAAGCAAATGAAAACAGCATTCCTCAGTGCCTCCCCTAACACAAAGTGAGAAGTGAATAGAATTTAAAGGAAGGGAAATGTATATACACTTTCCTATTTTCTTAAGAATAAAACATCGAGGACTGTCTCCCATAGTGTTCTATCACATTGTGCAGGCTTAATAAATAAAGAATTTAAACCACCTACCTTCCCCAAGGGAGACAGGCAAATGCACACTGGCATGAGAACGTCCTGCTCACGTTGGAGGGCTTCTGTCTGCTCCCCCAGGAGAATCTGGCCCAGTAAAGGAAGCACTGCTTTCGTGTGTGCTTTAGACGTCTATCCAGAGCTGCCGTCCTCATGGCTGGAGAAGTGAACAGCAAGCAGAGCTGATCTTGCTAAACTGCAGCCACTTCCTGAGGTTTGGGATGAACACATCAAGGTCTCAAGACAGAGGGCCGGGACAGCATAGCTTCTCCCTCTGTAGACTAGGGCTGCTGAATGCAAGGAAGTCCATGTAGCCCCAGAGAGCCCAGCAGGTCTCCCCACAGTCCCACTCCTCCACTTCCGGTGACACCTACCATCTGCCCACCTCAATGGACCTGCTCTCTGTTCAACAAGTAGAGTGTTTGAATTCCACATTTTACTTTATAAAAATCCTCAGAAGGCCACATCTCAAAAAAATATCCACATGTGAAAGTGGGATTTGGCAGAGAAAATAGAATGGGGAGGGTTATTCTTAGGCCCAGGAAAGGGGGGGCCCTAGTATTCCTCTGGTTGTGCCCTTCATATGGGGTGAAGAGTTCAGGGGCACAGAGATGTACCCACCTGGAGCCTGCAGCCTGCATCTCCTCTTTTGGACTATGTCTTGGGTACCAGAGACCCTGAATCCCCTGTCCAAGTGATCTTAATTCCACTTCCAGAGCTTTCTCCAGGCCTGTTTCTCTCCAAGGCAGGTCACACCACCAGTGCACACACCCCTAAGCTAAGGGGTGCTGTTTGTGGGGATACAAGCTGTGTAGGCTAGGATGTCCACACACATATGTGTACCGCCCCCTTATATGGGACTGCCAGGGTGGGAAGAGATGAGGGACAGGCCACAGGCCATGGGCTAGGTGTTCACACCCTCTGAGCCACCACATTCCTGCATGGTGCTCCAAGACCCCACAGATTCTCAGTGCACAGCAGCCCTTGTGCACAAGTGTCTTTATCAAGGCAGGAGGATGGAGCATCTTTTATTTAACACTGCCAGCTTGATTTATCACTTTTAAATATTGAGGTATGGTATATGAGCCTCCGTTTTTACACTTGCAGGGCTCCACAAAAGTTAGGGAAGGACCTGGGGAAGGAAAAACGTTTAAGGGAGGGATGGGGGATTATCAGGATCAAAAAGGACCAAAATTGTTTCTTTGCTATGTGGTGCTTAAAATAGTGCCCAGAACATAGTAAGTATTCAAATCTTTGTTGAAACAGAAAAGTTGGAGGGGGGAGGGAGAGAGAAAAAGAGAATTCAAATCCTGTCTTTACCATTCCACTTGTGCATCCTTGGGCAAGTATTTCAACATCCCTGATCCTCAATGTCCTCATCTGGAAAAAGGAGAAGCCACGCTTATCACACAGAAGAACAAATTAGTGTTAACTGCTTACACTGTTCTCAATACCATCACCATTTTCATTAAATGCTCCCCCCTCAATCCCATTTAATTTATGAGATGTAATTTGAGTATCGATTTATTTCAAATAACCTCAGGGAGGCTATTTCTCCTGACATGCCCCAGAGAGAGAAATATTTCATGATCAGCCCCACCAACATCCTCAAATGCCCCCCTACCACCATAGCAGGTACTGCTGGTGTCCGCCCATACCCCTAGGCACTCATCACTTCAGCACTCAGTAGTCTGACTTCCAGTTGCCAAACCAGCATTTCTTTGCATAAAGGCATCCCCAGACCTCCAGAGCCCACTTAGCCACTTTCATGGCAGGACTGCCTTCAACCAGTGATGGGCAGGAGTTGGTAGGAATACCCTGGCTCTCTTACTCCTAGAGTAAGATAACTCTGCCGTGCATGTTCTACACTGAATCCCAGCAGGATCATGTTCTAGTTACCCTTAGTGATAACTTGCTTGTAATAGACACTTTGGTTGCTACACAACAAGTATGCCTGAGTATGGCCATGCCGGTTACTACGGCCAGTATTCCTTCTAATTGCTCAGTGCTCATGCCTTATCACTTGTTAAATATTTTCCAAATCACCCCTTCACATTTAACCAACAAGTTGCTCCCCCAAGTGATTCTTAAGAAACATGAATATTGTATAAAACTAGATCCAATAGCAATTTCACCTAATAAACTACTATTTATTAGTCTCCCCCTTGTTTCTGTGATGTATGGCATTAAAAGGCAATAGTTAAACGAAGAAGAAATGGACAATAAAAGATCATTCAGTGCTTCCAGAAAACACCACAGATTTTTTGTTGCTGTTGGAAACCTTCCCATGTGTGTGAGTGAAATGCCATGACTACACACAGTGTATCAAATAGGCATCTGCTCTCAAGTGCTTTTGTACTTGGCAGTGACCTCAGGGCTTGACAAATATGTTGTCTCCGTGTTTTTATTTATTATCTCATAATCCTTTGGATGGTGACAAATTCTAAGATTATAACAAATATATTACGATACCAATATGAATGTAATGTAACAAAAAGATGACCTAGATCTATGGTAGGTGAATGCCAACCCAAACAGTGGCTAAACTGAGCAGCTGTTCGCAATTAGGTCCAATTAACAAGTTTTAAACACGGCATCACCGGGAACCTCTTTGAAGTGTGTTGCTCCATGAAGGTTTTGCTTGAAAGGGGTTTCCCAATGGGAACCAGTCAAAACCCTCAGCTGAACAGCTTCACTTCCTCTTTAGACTTCAGTGCCATGTAGAGTTCACACTTTTAATTCATCTTCCCCAGTTTTGTGTATAAATATTTCAGACATGTAAAGAAATGTCTGGAAAGGCATCTTTGCTGAAAAGGACATTGTGAAACCAGGAAGGAGGAAAGCAGGGGGCAGGGCTCCTGGGCTCTACTTGGCAATCTGTTGAAACGACGATCCTTACAGAAAAGGAAATTGCAAAACAACATCTAGGTATTCAATAGGCATATGAGAGCATCATCTACTCTGAAATAGAAGCTCCATGAGGGCAAGAACTTGGTCTGGCTCATCATCGTACCCCTAGTACCTACTAACTAGACTGGCACACAGCAGACCTACTATAGATATTAGATGAATGAATGAATGGCTTTTTACTGAATGAATAAACAAATGCTTGAATGAACTAATAAAATAAATAAAGTATATACATACGCTTGGAAAACACAAGCTATTTTATAAAATCTAACTCACATGAGTACGTGTGACACAAAAGCACACAGAGGCACACATACAACACACACAAGCACACACAGAAAAAGCCAGAAATTTGTCTTGATTCTCCTAATAATTTTGCTGGTCCTGCCTATTTGATGATCATTTGGGACTTACATTTCAGCTTCATTTTTTGTATCTGACAAAAAGAAGGGAAATGCAAGGTTGGACAGAATGCACCTAGAGTGGTGTCTGGCACATGGTAAGCACATAATAAATATTTGAGGACTAATGCATGAAAAAACTACATGGTTCTCCACCATTCCTGGCCAGAAGAGGCTCTGACATCTCTGTGTTTCACTCCTTGTGCATTTCCTAAGTCTTGTTCACTGGCTTTCCTGCAAGTCCCTCTCATTCGAGGACAACATGCCCAGCTCCAAAGGAGAGTTTTGGAAGAAGAGAGAGGGAGCCACCTTCCTTCCCTCCAGGCCTTGGGGAGACAGTGGAGTCAGTGGCTTTGTTGTAGGTGAAGTGAGATGCTTATTTAGGAGATGCTCCGCAGCCAGTGAGAGATCTGCCAGGAGGCAGGGCTTCAAAACCTGGGTTGCCTGTTACAATGCTGATTCCTGGGTTCCAGCCCTAAAAGGCTCACACTCAGTGGGTCTCGGGTATAACCCAAGAATCTGCACAATAACAACGACCCTGGTGATTCTGATGCAGACGATAAACTACTAGAGCCACTGGGCTAGAAGGAAAGCCTTCCAGAGGGAGAAAGATGTTCACCCCAGAGTGCCTACATCTGGTGGGTTGGTGCCATCCTGAGGCATCCTTCAGGGAAGTCCTCAAGCATTCTCTAAACATGACTTTAACTGACATGAAAAGAGAAAGAACACACATTCTTTCTTTTCTGTGATGGTAGGGGACACACACAATTCAGCAACCAAAAGGTTTCAGTTCCCCAAAAGCCTAAAAGCACACTAATAAAGAAAAGGCTCTGGAGTGCAACTGGGGAAGACAAGCACGCTTCCCAAGCAAAAGACCCACTTTTCCCTTAAGGGAAAATCCCAGGTTTGAAAGTATCACAGAAACAAAAAGAAAGATAACTAGAAAACAGGAGGTGGAAATGTTGATCCTAATGAAAAGCAAGGAAGCGGGGCAGAGACACCGACATCTGAATTACCCGTGTGACAAAGTCTCAGGACAGAGAGAGGGCTGACACAGAGCTAGACTCCATTAAAGTGTTAGAATGACAAGTTCCTGCAACATGATAATTTAGAGACTTGTAATATATCTGTCCACACAATAGCTAATTTCAGAGTCAATGGTGTACTCCTTGAAGACAATCTGGAAACCTGGAAAATCCAAGACAAATGGTCTGTTAGCGTAAAGGATCTCAATGGTTTAAAGCCTCCATATATCATGGCTGCATGAAAGGATTCCTCTATAAACAGCGGAGCAAGACCACACTGCCTTATATCAAGACATTTTCAGCTTGTTTAAAAGGGGGCATTATTTTCCACTGGCAAATAGTTTCTTCACAATCTCTCTCTCTCTCTCTCTCTCTCTCTCTCTCTCTCTCTCTCTCACACACACACACACACACACACACACACACACCCTGCCTATCTGTGCACATGGAGGAAAACTCTTTTGACAGGTTTTTAAGTTATAAAGGCCTAAGCCTTTTTGTACTACTTTGGGAAGCTTAAAGCTACAGACTAGACCAGCTACAGCCCAGCCTGGTGAGACATCAGTCCCTGTGAGCTGGCCAGCATCACCTACTCCCTGCCCCCTGCCTTCCTGTCCTGCAACCAACAGTCTAATTGCTTTTGTACCTTTCTGAATAAACAAAAGTAGTTATTTTTTGTTTAATGTCATATATAGTTTATAAAATTAAGTGGTAAGTGTAGATAATAAGCATTTTATGTCAGATATGTAATATATGAGCTTCAAGTCTATTTCTGTTGACTCTCAACCATCAGGCTCATGGCAAAGTCTTTATGACTATAGGATAGATAGGGGTGTATTAGCCACATATGTTGGAAGGAAGGGAAACAGGAGAAGGAATAACAGTCAGAACAGGCTGGCTTGTGCTGAGGTAATAGCCATTCCCAAAATCTCAATGGCAAAAATAAAAAAAAAAAAGGCATCTTTCTCACTCTACTACATATCCATCTCAGGTCAGTGGGGGGTGAGATGGAGGGTGGGACCACTCCTTACTCCTCACTCCAAAACCCAGGCTGAGAAAGTGGCCACCAATTCCTACATTGCCAGGCATATGGCGGAGGGAAAGAAAGCTCTGCACAGCCTTGAACTGGCAATTAAATGCTTGATCTAATGGTGACACACAGCATCTCCACTCATATTTTATTGCCCTGAACTGGTCACATGGCCCAGTCACCAGTCACCCAATGACAAGGGGGCCAGGAAGTGAAATCCTACTCTGTGCCTGAAAGTCAAAGATCCAGAAAGATTTAGAGAACAGCACTAATGACCACTAAGAAGGGAGGATGGGAGAAGACCTACCAACTGACTATTGCTGACAAAGACACACTGAAAAATCCTACTACTGTCACTGACTGTACCCAGATCCTGACTCAACAGCATCTACCACTGCCTGTAAAACCTGCAAAGTAGAGGGCATGTCCCAAAAGATAATCCAGCTTTCATCCCAACATCTAAAGAAATAATCATGCACTTCTATTAAGATTGAATTTTGGCAACAGACAGGTGATAGGTGTTGCTTTGTAATTTTAAAAAATAAAGATTTTTTTGTTAACTATACAATATTTTCAAAATGTTTTCATTTCCCATGAAATAGGCATTCTCATATATTAATTTTAAGAACAAAGTTGGTTGGGCTTTTCTGAAATATTATTGGCTAGGTGGCAAAGAACATTTAAAACATTCGTCACCCTTTGACTCGGAAATTCTACATCTAGAAATTAATCCTAAGAAAATAAGCAGAAATGCAAATAAAGGTTTATGTAAAAGCATATCGTCTTCCTTTTTTTTTTTAAGACAGGGTCTTGCTCTGTAGGCCAAGCTGCAGTGCTGTAGCCTGATGACAACTTGACAGCCTCAACCTCCTAGGCTCAAGCGTAGCCCACTTCAGCCTCTCAAGTAGCTGGGACTACAGGTGCCTGCCACCACACATGGCTAATTTTTGTATTTTTTTGTAGAGATGGAGTTTTGCCATGTTGACCCAGGATACTCCCAAACTCCTGGGCTCC